GCAAGTTTACACTGATGGAATAATGTCTATAGCAGAGAAATGGTTCCTTGGAGTATACTTATTCTTGTGGCTTGGTTAAAAACTAGTTACCTATGAACTAAATCTGAATTGGCTTACTCTAGTGTACTATGACCAGTATTGTATAATACCAGTTCGTTCTAAAGAAGCTTGAAGTCAACTAGTTAATTTATGGCTAGTTCACAGCTACTTCCAGATACATCATTTCAAAAATTTGAAGATTTCTATTTGACATTTACATTCAATTCAAATAAATGCTTTTTACTTTGAAATATTGCTCTTCTTCCCGCAAAGCTTTCAGCCAAACTCCATCTCTTTTGTCAACGAAAAATACATTAAAAATTGTTTAAAAGTCTTATTTTAATAGTTCCAACACATCCCTTACTTGTGTTGGTTAGTGGCAGCAGCAATTTTCCACTCATTGCAATCAACTTTCGCGCTTCAAATATTTCTGGCATTTTCATGCACACACTTGCAGCACAAGTGACATGCATGTTGGCATGTGTGTGGGTACTATTGCGGCCGCTCATTATTGCTGAACAACGATGTATTTCACGCTATAGACCACATTTTCGGAAGTTACCACGCAAATGCTCGGTTTTGTTGTTGGCTTTCGGTTATTAGTGCCGTTGTTTATTTGCTGTTGCAAGTACATGCACACAAATTTGATTTAATGTTATTGACTTTTCACTTTACAAAATCAAATGGAAATTCATTTTAATTATGATTTTCATTTGCCGATGCGGTTTAATTCAGTTCGCCGCATTTTGGGTGGCGTCCCTCGCTGTGGCCCTGTTTGTGGGATTATTTGTGTGTTGCTGATGTTGTTGGTACCTTTTGCATTTTTTGTTTACTTTTATGTATAATTTAAGTAATTTTTAATTAATGTTTAAGCTTCACACGCTTAAATCATTTTGTTTCTATTTTTGCATTTTCATTAAAGCAAGCACTGAAAACTTTAAGAAAGTGTGGAACTTTCAGCAAGCTTGATCTCGAGAGCGTCAAATTTCTGCAAGCTGCATATTCTAAACTATTTCAATTTATTGATTTTATTGGTTTTTGAAAAAATTTTATCAGGCTTTCCATATAATTTTTTCATACAGTTTAACCAAAGCTGCCATGGCGTATGAGTAACCCGATATAATGGGGAGGAGAAAATTCATAGTTTTCTAAAACTAAAAACTTTTTATTCAAAGAAAATAAATTTTTTAAACCATAACTGTTCGACTAATTCATTAATTTTCTTTGCATGGTTGCAACTCTCATCAACTGCCATATAACTTTCCTTCTTCTAGTGCACCACAAGCAAGGCGTGTGCTGTCTTGCTCCATCAGCTTCACATAAACTTTTCTATTATCTCTAAGCCAATGCAAAATTTCCATAATTTCGTCTACTCACATAACAATGAAGTATAAATCTATTTATTTGCACTTTTTTCCTGTCATAAAACTTTGCCTTGTCTCGGCTGCGGCATATTCGGCAATGTGGTCTACACTGCTTTTCTTTCACTCTTCTTTCCTAACTGAACTACTTTGGTTCTTAGGGGAAAATCGCAGCTTAGAGGGGTTAGTTTCAGAATATCAAGTAAACTAAAATCCCAAAACAAAGGGAAAAAGAGTGAAAAAGCAAATCGCATACGAGGACCAGGCGAACTAGTGCAGCAGCGAAACGCATAGATTGGCAGCGTCAAGTTGGCAGAGTGGCAGGGCAGTGGTGTCATGTGTCTATGGTAAACTAAAACCTAACATAGAAAATTGAAAATATTTCGGAGAATTTATAAATTATCATGTCGTAAATGTTGGATAAGCGCTAATACAAATAGACGCATATGATCCCTTAGAAGATTATGCATGCAAGTGTGTGTGTGTGCGTTTTGGGTGCTTGAGAGCAGTCAGCCTGATGGTATATTAAAAATTACATAAAATTTCTATACACATGTGCTTATATATGTACCTATGCATATGCTTAGATATTCCGGGTTTTCCAATTGGAATGATATGATTTCTGAAGATCGTTTCGGCAATTTTTAATGTATCATGATAATATTTTTCATTATATTTAGTAATGTATAGAATTCATCATGCAAAAGTATAGACGAGAATAACGTTTACAAATTATTCAGTTTTATTTTCAAAGTTCTCCATCTATGGTCGTAATAATCGTTTACCAGTTCTGTTGAAAATTTCGAGCAAATATTTTCTTTACATAATATTCAAGTGCCAATAACACATACAGAACCGCTCGAAGTAATAAAAATATTGCTGCTGTTCAGGCAAGAGTTATCGAAAGCCGCAATTTGTCGATTCCATCTCAAATTGAAAATGTTGAAAATGTCAGAGACTAATCAGGAGTTTTTCCTGATCATTCAGTTTTTCTTCAAAGGTGACGTATTTTTGGTCTTTTTTTTTTTTTTTTGTTTTTGCTTCGCTGGAATTGCTCCTTTAGATATGCAAATCCACTGACATCTCAACTTCGGCTCTATGTAGGTTATGACTGCTGGCCAAAGACAGGTTGGAGATGTTCTGGGTGGTATGTTTAGAATTGTTCTTAATAGTTTTTGTTTGAGTCAAGCAAAAATAAAGAATATTTCATCTGATCCTTGTTCTTGTTAAGACGAACCGAATAAGAGTTTCATACACATTACACAAAATTTATGTGTGACACAGAATTTATCTTGATTCTTCATAGGCAATCGAAAATAGTCTAAATAGTACTGTTCAATTAATGACGTAAAATACACATAACAAAAAACTTACGTAGCATGCTAAGAGAGTAACAAATGTATATACAATGTAACGTGGTCGAATGCAATTGTTATGCAATCGTAAATATTTAGTTATTCATCAAAATCTATGTTGTCGGCTTCAAAGTAATCTCTATCAAATGTAATTTAGTTAGGAAAACAATTTTTACAGTTCCAAAACACTTTTCATAAGCACTTTTTGGAATGGCCTTCAACTTCTTCAGCGAATGTAGTTGTATTTCGCCGATTGACTGAAAACGGGTTCCACGCAGCGGCAGTTTCAGTTTGGGGAACAAGAAAAAATCGCACGAAGCCAAATCTGGTGAAGACAGTGGTTGATCGAAGGTATTAATTGTGTTTTAAATTCGGTCACAATCTTGGCTCGATGCGATAATAATTATCGTGTACGGTCTGCGTACATTGTGTTTATATGGTGCTGTTAATGAGGATACATAAACCAAAATTATGACAAAGTTCTTATGAAAAAAACAGTCTTTAAAAGTATAATCTTAAATTTTGGATTGTTTCTTTGCGAAACTTTCATTTCGATTAACCCTTATATGATAACTAAACTCTTGAATACTTAAAAATTGTAGTTAAGGTATGTGACTTTGCTAGATGCTAGCAAATGTAGGTCATGTCTTGGTTTTTATTCTTTAACTATTATTTATTTTACACTAGAAAACAGATGCTTGTAAGGAAAATTTCGGCACACGTGTCTACAAAAGAGTCTTCACTTTTTTTTCAATTATTTTTTGTTCAATTTTAGCCTGTAGTTGTTAGATTTGTATCCGTATAATAGAACATACTATAAATTGAAAATATTACCGTATTCATTAATATTTAGTTCTTTCTATGAAGACATTTATTTATACACAATAGCTTATAAGCCTATAATTTGCTTTAACAAAAATTTTCAAAATTATTTCAGTCTATCGGGTGAGGTGTGCAGCTTCACAACAACGGCCTGACTCCTACAGTTACCAGAAATAACATATTAACATATAACAAAGAAAGAAGCAAATTGTACGATAAACTCCAACAATTCTTGTCCAATCAATTTATGCTTTTGAAACGTTGCTAAATGGTTCAAACGTTTACTTTTTTATTTATTTAAATACCGACGTTTTTTTTTTTTATATCAAAACTTATGGTTTACCCCCAAAAATTGTTGCTTTAAAGCAAGGTTTATTAGATATTCTCAATATTTTAATATATTTCAAGGCTGTTGTATGTTTTATTTCTGAATTCTATATATCTATCTATTTGTTAAAATATTTAACTAAAACATTTCCAAAAGAAATTATACTTTTCATTCGCAATTAGGTTTGAAACTTTGCTAATACCAGATTGCCGAAATGTATGCAACGCTTTTAATTTTATAGGTTATGGTATAAAGTATACGAACAATTTAAATTAGTTTAGCCCTAAGGTAATTAAGTAATGAAATCATAATTAAAGTAAGAAGATTCGCCTAAAATATCTATCTCTAGTGAAAACTAATTAGAAATATGTCGCATATTTATGCCTAACAGTACAGATGTATACATACATAGCGCCATAGAAATACCCAATCTCTTTAAACCTCAAATAGGTCAAATATTTTTCTACTTGCCATTTACAAACCCCACAGATACCGTTATGCAAAAATGTTAGTAATTTACATGAAATTGCAGGAATTGTTAAACGGCTGTACTGGGGTTTACATTTCCCTTAAATCTTAATTTGAAAACAGTTGTAAAATAATTTTCCACACAAACAAACAGCTGCACACACATACCAGCAACGCATTCGTATGTGTGTATATATGTATGTGTGTGCGTGCATTGTGAATTTATGTGGGCCGGAAACAATATTGCCTTTAATGCAAACAACTTTTGCGGCAAAACCTTTAGTTGCGTTTAGAAATTCCCAAACATTGAATTAAATTGCTGTCTATGGGAGACCTGCTGACCATAATAATTTCAAATAGCAACAACACAAATAAAATGTAAATGCACACGCATTTGTATTTATCTGGACTTGACTAGGAATGTGGCCAGTGTCATCGCTACACTCGACCGCCTCCCTTTCCAACTGATTTGCTGCAATAGTAGGAAAATTCTGTTGCGTATACGCCATGGCTTCCTGTTGCTTTGCTCTTTTTTTTCTACATCTTTCTTGTATTTGCCTATTTTGCATATTTCTAATGTTCTTCTGTTGTTCTGCTTGTGTATTTTCATGCTCTGCCTTCACACAGTGCCACCAAGGATCCATCACATTAGCACCGGTGGACATTTGCAAGTCAAAAAGGGCTCGTCGGTGCGTATTGAGTGCTCGGCCTCCGGTAATCCGACGCCGAACGTAACTTGGAGTCGTAAGAATAATATTTTGCCCAACGGTAAGATTTGAATAAGTTATAAAACATTTCAAATAAACACACTTTGCATAGTCATCTTCCTGCCACACCGCAGTTCCTGTGTGATATTTGCGCTTCCACTTTGTGTTTCTTTTTATTGTTTAAGTAAATATTTTATGGGCTTTTGTTTTATTTTATATATTTTTTTATTTTAATTTTTTGTATTTTTATTCTATTTTTTCCATTTTATACAGTGTCTTTTTTGTTAGTTAAATTTTTTGCTTGCTGTGTACACATTTACGCACTTCCATCGGTGCATAGAGCTCGTATGTCCTCACCACCGCTCTGTGCATCCGTAGAGCTGCTGCATTTATCAAAAAGCAAATAAATAACGCTGCATATATGTAAATAAAAGTAAGGAATATGTGGAACAGCGCCTAAAAGCACACTTCGTCTGTCATATCTCTGTAGAAGGCGCAACGATGTCAGTTGATTTAATTAAAAGTGCCATTCAATTTTATTGACTCACATTCTCACAGCTCAATTGCTGCATTGTTGTTATTTGTTTTGTACTCACACTGCCCGCATGCATTTTACGCTCTACTTTTGGTTTCCCGTATTTTTTTCTTTTTTGCTTATATTTACTTTATTTGATTTTTTTAATTTTTATTTATTTATTTTTTTCTGTTTTCATTTCATTTTTTTATTTCAACAGCTTGCCATGCCACATTCTTCAATTCCAGCATACTTCGTATATCGACCACTTCCTTTTTCGTGGTGCATTTCCTCCTACTCCACATCCTCTCATCATTCAATCACTTAGTTATTCCATCACAGCAGTAAATTTATTTTATTCACATGTTCCGTTTTTTATATTGCTTTTCCCCGATTTGCTCCAACAGGCGAGGAGAAGCTGCACTCGCACATCCTGTCGATCGAGAACGTGGACCGGCACAAGGGCGGCGTCTACATTTGTACAGCCAACAACGGCGTCGGTCAACCGGCATCCAGTCAAGTCGTCCTGCATGTCCTATGTAAGTTGTGAAACCAAAGAGCAGAACAAAATCGCTTTTAATAAATATTATACAATATAATGTAGTGAAGGAAAAAGAATACGAAAAAAATCGAAACAGTGAAGTATCAGGTCGACATGCAGTGAAATACTCGCCGTCGGTCAAGTACAAATGAAAAGTTCCTATTTATTTATGCGCTCTTGTATGCAGAGCTTCGTTATGCGTTTACGCATACTTCTCGTCCAAGTGATAGTATGGAGGTCTGTGTAAATTCGTCTGTTATAATTGTGTAAATACTATGATCTTTGGCAGCACTGGTTGAGAGTGCGTGCCGTCTGTTAAATTCTATTAGCGAATCGGTCCAAAAATATTGAAATCATTTCAGAAAAAGTTGGTACTTAAGATTTATATTTTTACTTGGTTAAATTATTACTAGAAATATAATGGAAAACAGCCAAAGTTGCATAGCATATATGCAAAACAGTATTCGGTATAGTTATAGAAATATTTTGTCGAAATTGAGGTAGAAATGGTTATGGAGGTAATTGTGTGTAAGGAAAGTGAGAGATATGTGTAGTATATATAGTACTTGAGATTCAAATATATAATAAAGGTCAAATATATTAATTAATATTTTGAAAGCGAAAGAAACAATAAACAAAAATGGAAAAAAAGAGAGAGAGAGAGAGAGAAAAGACATTTGGATGTGGTTATTGACATTTATACATAGCTTCCGATATGAAAGCATGCATATCAATAGATGGCTCTTAAAATTAGAAAAAAAGATGCAAGTGTTGGGTAAGATGAGAGAGAGAAAAAGAAAGGGATAAAGAAAAGAGCTTCAAATGGAGGAAAAGGCGGAAATTTGTAGAACTGTTGATATTAATATGGAAGTTTGATATTAACTTTGGGAATAAAATTAAGCTCTTTGTTGTGAGTAAGCGTGAAAAGAAGTTGGGAATAATGTTTATGGTTAATCCAGGTTATATGGGGAAGGGGTTGAGAAAAATGGTTATTCATATGAATAAAGTATGTATTATTTGATGTTATTGTAAAAGAATAAATTATATGAGTTGGAGAGTGAACTAAAGATAGAAAAGTTTAGAGATAGACGTCCTAGAAGATGGATTGAGATAGAGGTAAAAACATTGTAGAGGTAAGATTGAAAATGGAGAAATACCATAAATATGAAAATAAGTGAAAAATCCGACTCAGAACAAAAATAGGTTAAAGTTGTGCTTAGACTGCGATGAGTGTTGGATTTGCACTATTTTTGGAAAAGTGATTGATATTGAAAGTGTGTTTTGAGGTTATGGTTGCGGTTGTTGACGTTGCAAAAATAAGATTGAAGAGAAGAGAAGTTAATGTTTAAGTTAAGGTTGGTTTTTAACGTAGGGCTGGAGGTTGAGATTAATATTGATATTGATATTGGTATTGATATTGATATTGATATTGATATTGATATTGATATTGATATTGATATTGATACTGATAGTATTGACGGTTGCGTCGGAAGTCGAAGCAAAAAAAAAATAAGAATATTTATTTTAATCAAACACTAAACCAAAGATTAAGGATTTAAAATAAAATAATGAAGGCCCTTCTATAATAATAATATATTACTTTTTAATTATAATTTATTTTCTGTTATTTTTAACTCTGTCAGCAGATATTTAAAATCTTTATTCTATTTCAGATCCACCTGAAATATCCGTTGAACGTCCAATAGTCTTCTCCGGCGAAGGGCACGAGGCAATGCTGGTCTGCATAGTCCATGGGGAAACACAACCTGAGGTATATTCCACTTAATATTATCAATATAATTAAACCATAAAAATATTTGAATGCCAATTTGAAAGAGTGTTTTGTCTTAAAAAAAAACTGTAAAAACTAAAACTCCCAAAACACTTAACACCAAATAGTCACCACAAAACCAAAAATGCCATTTCTGACTGCATAGCAAAAATTAAATGCTCGCCGCCAGTTCATTAGTGAACGCGACCGTTAGTTGATGGAATTCGGTGTCCTTATGCCCGACCACTTTGCGCATTTAAATGGTTGTTTGCTTACGCGATGTTTATGTCACCAGTTGTTTTTATTTCCTTCGCAATGGCATTTAAAAAAATTATATAGACATAAATATATATACGTGGCTGTATGTGTGCTTATATTTGCTTGTGTGTTGGCAACGCTAGAAATCATCATTTTGATATTGGTATTTACGAGCGTGTCTGCGGTCAATGCACAGAAGCGTGCAGCCGCGAGTCGCACAACTGTCATGAAAATGAATATGAGCGCTGCATTCAAGCTGCCACAACAACAACAACACGAATACTACTACAAACACAAGTGCAAGCATCGCGACACACACACATGCACACGCCATTTGCGCGCGGTTACAACGAAAGTGTGGACAAATAATTGCGTTGGGCGGCAAAAAAAAAACACAGAAAAATGTCAATTGACGAAATTATATGAGTGAAAGGCGCGCTCACTGAAAACTGGCATTTCTATGGAAGTTATTATGCACACTAAATCCCCTACTCAGCCAGCTGGGAAAGCTTTGCGCGCCAACATGCGCCATTTTCACTTTATTAGCGCGGTTTTCTCTGAATCACTTTACTCAGCAGTGCCGCGTATATATATATGTGTGTGTTTGTATTCTATTTTGCACTTTTCATTTGCGCGCTGCTGTCATTACCCGCTCGCAAATGTTTTATTTTCGCTGGGTCACATTGGGCGTGGCAGCGCTTCTGTTGCTGCTCCGTTGCAGAAAACAACATTTCCGCATGCAATTTGTACATTTGCCTTCACTCGACTATTCATTGCATTGCATTGACTCATTCGTTTTGCATTACGCTCGTGTTTATTTATGTTAATGATACACAAGCTAGTATACAATGTGATAGTCCATGCTCGAGGGGTTGAGTTGCTGTGTCCAAATTATTTTACCCACATAAAAATTAAACTTTTTCCAAATATTGCCAACCGTGTATCTCACCTGCTGTGAAGCTTTCACAGCGAAGCTATCACGAATTTGCATTTTAAGTCAATAACTCATTTCCTAAGAATAAAAATTGTTTCATATTATTTAATTGAATTCTACTACACACGCTTACTTACAAGGCATTTATGGCCTCTTTAAAAATTACTCTAAAACCAAACAACATTATAAATGAAGAAAACAACTTTTTTCGCAGTTTTCTCGCGTGCATTCGCTTGCATATCCTCAGCGTATTTTTTAAATGAGCGCAATTTTAATGAGTTCTCACATTTTACTTAGGTATGCAGTGAGTAAAGCGAATGAATACAAATAAGCACATTAGGGTGTGTCCAATTATTTTTACAATTAGCTTGGCTTGTAGAGACTTAATTGTAAAACTACGAATATTCAATTCATTCTTCAATATATATGCAATTCTTTTTGGAATAAAAATTATAAATTACATTTGACGCAGAGCTTCCAATAAAACAGCGTTTAGCTTTCGAAGCTTCCACTCGTATTACTGTAAGTTTTAATAATATTTATACTGCAATTTGAGTTCTAGCGTCCATTGAAAAGTAAAGCTTTCACTGCACAGTTGCATTATTATTTATACTTCCACAAAAATATAAGCTTTAAGCTTTCGAAGCTTTAAAGAATTTCACTGAAATCGTACTGTTAGCCTTCAATCAAATTTTCAAGCTTTATAGTGTCAAAACTTTTACCAATCTTATAGAAAAATTAAAATTTTTTTTTTCATTTATTTAAAATTGATTTTAATGAGTAAAATATATGTAAATACATATATTAAAATATATACACGATAATTATTTGCAATAGTTACCGTTTTTTTGTCATCACCGCTACTACTATATTTAAATTCATCCCCTCCCACGGCATAGCTTAGAGTTTTGTACAATTGCATAATTGTTTTTTATAAATTCTCCCACCCTAATGTTTGCATATATATAACAATTTATATCGGCAAATGTCATGCAACATGGTGAGCATGTTATTTTACCGTTAATTATGTAAATTACCTGAGCGCTAAATTGCATTGCTAACAGCGTGAAAGGTCAGGCAAATATTGTACTTCGCGGCATTCCCTTGAGCCACGAAAGCCGAATGCACATACACATACACAAATGCATGCCATACATATCTACGTATGTAGTTATAAATGTTATGTGAAGTCATGGCGATTTTTCAATGACCCAGACGTAATTTCAGCCGAGTGTCGGTGTTAAGGGAAATGAAAATATTTTTATATATGTATATTTGTATGTATATGCTTAAAAAGGAATTTTTTATTTTGCTTTGAAAGTGGGAAATTTTTAGAAAGTGCAGAAATTTTAATAATACGGCGATCTAATAAAGCTTTTTCCTTTATTCTTTCCTTTTTCTAAAGTTGGTTCGAATACGAAAGTATGGTGTATTCAGTGGACTTAGATCTCACTGGTTAGTTGGTAGTCATAATATAATTTATTTGCTACCAGTATTTCAATGGTGAAAGTACAAATTGAGCAAACTATGTGGAAGGTATGCCCTATCAGCTTAAATGCTCTTAATATAAGCTTTACTGCTAGGTTTCTCAGAGGTGACAGAAATCGCTGGACAAGATTTTAAACGGATTTATGGTAAATCATCCATAGTAAATTTTACTTCAAAAAATGTATTAGTGCTTTATCTAGCTGGCAGTCGGTGCCGCCCTGTAGGTGTAGAGTTTCTCTTGATCGAGCCTGCTGATTGGTTTTATAGCGTCGTCCGTTTTCCCGAGTCGTTTAGCTGGACCCGCTGTTTCTCTTACAACAGACCGCTGTTTTTTTGCTGCAATTCCTTTCTCTATCCGTTTCGTGTGAACTGCTGTCGCGCAGTATAATCGAACTTTCCTTCTCCTCCTTCGTTCGGAGAATCTTGCAAATAGGCCTTTCAGAGACTTTCACAGTTGCTTCATATAAAAACCCATTTATCAAGCTATTAATAAAATTTCTCAAGTCCTTAATAAAGCTCTCAACAAAATAAATTCAAAATTATCTCTTATGATTATGACTTCCTAGCCAAGTTGAGGTTATAAAAAACATGCTTCGAATGTTCGAATATATACAAAAATATGTATGTACATACGTATTTCGGAACACGTGTACTTATTAAGCGATTGTCAATGCCTACTCAAGCAATTCCAATTATGAGAGCCGCCTGAAAGCCTTAAAATTAATGACGAATTTGTCAAAAGCACTTAAAACACGCACGCACATCCATATGCACACACACTCATCACACACACAGAGACACCAAAAAGCATAAGCGCGCATACTGATGACATACCAGCATTGACGAATTGATGAACTCAGCGAGACACACTCGAAAATGTCAGTTAACTAAAAACGCAAAAACACATTAAAGCAACAATAACAACAACAATATCGGCGATGATAATGATTTACCGCATGCTTTCGCACCTATAAAATAGGCCATCAACACCGCCAACATTTTGCATTTGCATTGACGAGCGAGATTGACAGCACAATTTGAATTTGCATTCGTTCAGCTCATTTCGGATATGCCCGCACGCGCTCTTAAGAGCTACACATACGTATTTTTGTCCGCATTTGTGTACGTGTGTCTCTGCGAAGTAAATTACTTTGCAAATTAATTTTCAAATTAGAGCGGCGGATAAGCAAATCGATTAAGCAGCCAACACGACGTGTCCGCCGACGCCTCAAAATCTCCCATGCTCCTCGAGCTGCTGACGGTGCACGCGCTGAGCGGCTATTGGAACGGGTGAAAGAGGTGTGCCAAACACAAGCACACCGCAGAAACACCAACAGATTCATGTAAGATGTACGTGTGTGTGTATGTGTGACGCTCCGAGCTATTTTAATATTTTAATGAATTGATGGATTTGCACGTAAATCAACTCGAAAACACTTGAGCAGCCATTCAAAATGAAAATTGTATGAATAAGCGAGTACGAGTACACACTCGGCTCTGCGGTGTGTCGTTGTGTGCCGAGTGTACAGTTAGACGTTAGCTGACTAAATGCTGGGCTGGCAGACTGCCTGAGCTGATGGCTGACTGTTGGGTTGGTTTTTCGGTTGGTTGGCAGGCTACCAGCTTGCCGCTTTGATTGATTGACTTGCAGACTTGCATGCTGCCTGGCAGATTTCACCAAAGCAGCGCAGCGTCGTTGCGGCAGAGTTTGATGCGGCATTAAGGTGTTATTATTTTGTGCTGCTCGGAAGGCTCCAACTTTGGCACTTGTCTGCTATTATTTTTGTTGCTGTTGTTGACGAGAATAATCAACGAACACATGCGAATTGTGGAAAGTGCTTACATAGACAGACGTATGCCTTGGTGTGTGTGGATTTGTGGCAGGTTGGTAATAACTCATATATAAATCTTATTTGTTTGAATTTCGTTGATCGAGAGATCACAAGTCAAGTGTCAAAATCACTTAAAGCTCTATAGTCTACACTTCTAACTGTACAGTACAGCAAATGTGGCAGCGTGGTTGGCACTCAATAGCGCAAACACTTAACAAACACACACATGCGTGTGACACTTTGGTGAAGTGTCAGTGTTGCTGGAAAAGTACTTTTAAATATTTGAGCAATTAGCAGCAGCAAATTGCAAGCAATTATTATGAGCATATGTTTGTCTAAAACATAACGGTACTTATTAATGTTTCTCAGCCTAACAAAATATAACGAATTGCCACTAAAAGTGGCAGCAAAATTTAATAAATTTTCAACTTGTCTAAACTTACAAATATAACAATAATACCCAACGATTACCCTCCTCCCGACCAACC